AAGATGAATCTGAAGACGACGTAGACGAGTACCAGTGGCCATCCATATGATGGGGCTTGTAGTATCCCAACCACCATGCGAGTAGTGATCATAGTGTATAGGTAGGGAGTTGACCATGGTGTTTAGTGCTAACTCTTGATATTTTAGGCTGTAGGACAGTCTATGCAATGTTAACTGCTAAATCTGTATTGTTCGTAGCCCCAAGCTGTAGAAAATGAAGGCAAAGAAGCTGGGGGGGTGGTGTATTGGTTTCATATTGAAAAGTAGGGTGGTATAAATATCGAGTTTAATTAAGCACCAAGGTCCGCTCAAACCACCCATGAGTGTTCAATTCCGGCGGGTGTTTTATCCGGGGGAATACGGTAGCTGCCGACCAGTGCTGTGGTCGGTGTCTGCCGGTGGCCACAAAGCGGGCTAGTATGCTGAGCGGGTATGCGAGATCTGGACGCGTGCAAGTCATCAGGTACATGAGGCTACCCACCAGCTCTGCGTAAGGACCCCTAGGCTCTATAGCCTACTCTGGGACTGGAGCAGAGAGTCTGTGGACTACTGGCAAATGGGTGGGTTGTGCGGAAGAAAACGGAAGTTCGAACCTCTGAAGGACTTGGAGCACCAATTGTGGCTGTGAGAGCGTAATGGTGCGCGCTGCTTTGTCCTTGGAGATCTGCCGGCCAAGGTAGCAGCGCAGCTCTCCTAGGTCATTCCAAGTGTGTCTCCTTAGCAGCTCGGCCTTCACAGAGGCCAGTGCGTCTCTGTCTGGAGTAGCAAAAACCAGGTCGTCCACATAGACCAGGATGTAAAACGGAGTCTGGCCGGAACGGACGAAGAGTGAGGGGTCTGCAGACGACGGAAAGAACTGCAGGTCAGCAAGTGTAGCATGCAGCGTGTCGTGCCACTCACGGGGTGCCTGGCGCAGGCCGTAGACGGGGGCGCCGGAGGAGCCACTGGGTACCAAGGGGAAAGGTACCAGAGAAGCCCTGGGGGCGGGGCATGTAGACCTGCTCATGTAGACTACCCTAAAAGAAAGCTGTGGAGAAGTCGAGGGAGTGCAGCTCGTAGTCACGCTGTGCTGCTACGTATAGCAGCGCCCAAAGATTAGTCATCTTCGGGATCGGGGCGAAGGTCTGAAAGAATTCCACCCCTTCACACTAACTGAAGCCTCGAGCAACGTAGCGCGCCTTGAAGACAAGCGGTTCTCCAGGAGGGCGCTTCATCTTGAAGAGCCATCGGCCATCAACTACGTTCACCCGAGGTGGGAAAACTGAGTTAACGAAGGTACCGGTGGATCTCCAAGATGCCATCTCCTGCTCCATGGCAGCTATCCACTGAGAGGCCCAGGGTCCCGAAGTCGCCTCAGCATAAGTGCGAGGGGTCGGGATGTCAAGGGCGTCTAGGTCACCCTCAGGGACTAGCAGCATGGAACAGAGATGGGGCACGGCCTCTGACAGGATAGCAAGCTCGTACTGTCTGTCCTCTAGAACGTTACTGCTAAGGGCAGCGACACCCCCGACGGACGGAGGGCAGGCAGGGTCAGAGACCAGAGCTGTGGCGTAGTCAAGGCGGCAGGTAGCGGCGAAGTCAGTGACAACCGCGACAAGAGCCGACATACTCGAAACAGGAACGGACGGGTCAGAAACAAGAGAGGGAAGGACATAAGGGACAAGGGGAAGTGCTGTATGGAGGAAGTTAGAGAACGGAGGAGGGGCCACAGCGAGCGACGACGGAGGAGCGGAGGAGCACGAGACGCGTGGGAGCAAAGCAACATAGGGTGGGAACGCTGAACAGGGGATGCAGGATGAGCACAAGATGGACGACGAGCCCAGACGTGAGATGGAGGAGTCGAGTCAGGAGAGAGAGGAGGAGACACAGGAGGAGAACGAGGGGGAAACAAGCCGGAGAAGAGTCTGACGAAGGGAACACGGGGCCGGAGACCAGCAGAGGAGGAGGCGGCGACGACGGAGGAGGCACTGGCGGGAGGCCAGGGGAAGGAAGACCGAGGAGGCGAAGAGCAGACACCAGCGGCGGCCGCGCGACGCCAACACCAGAACCTCCAGCAGCACTACAACTTGCTCCAAGAAGCTCCACTCCAGCACCCCCAGTACCGGAACCCGCTCCAGCACGCTCTCGAGCACCCCCAGAACGCACGACCCCCAACAACGGTGACGACGACGGCTGCCGCCGCGGCGGCGACGGCAGCTGCGGAGGCGGTTGGGCTGCAACAGCACCGGAGATGACAAAGGAGGAGGGACCGGGGCAGGGACAGGCGGTGGAAGAGACTCCATAGAGCCACGAGAGTCAGCAGACTCCTCGGCAGGGACACTCGACGGGAGAGGGGTGACGTGAGACACACCAGACGGGGCAGGGCAGGAAAGGGAGTCAGCAGGGGCGACCAGGGAAGGGGTAACCAGGAACATGGGGGGCAACCGGAGGACCACGATGAGGAAAGCGGTGGTAAAAGGAGACGGACTCGTCAAAGGTGACGTCGCGAGAGTGTAAGAAGCGGTGAGACGGCAAGTGGTAGAAGTGCCAGTCAGACTAGTTGAGGGGGAAACCGAGGAAGACACACAGGACAGTGCGGGTAGTGAGCTTTTCCGTGCCAGAGGCACGAACGTGAGCAAGGCAACCCCAAACGTGGAACGCAGACGTGTCAAAAGGAGACCCGGTCCAGAGGAGGGTCGTTGAAACCTGCGACGGCTGAGGGTGCGGCCACAGGTTAAGCTGGTGAGCGGCGTAGCGAACGGCCACAGAAAATGGGGTGCACCGGTATGGATCATGGAGGTACGAGCCACCTCCATGGCCATACCGATGCGTCACTCAGCGATTGCATTCTACTGCAGGGAGTCCGACAGGGTGTACGTCTGGATGATGCCATCCGTACGACTGAAACGACCAAGGGAACTAGAGGCAAGCGAGCAGAGATGAGGCGCAGCCTTGGACAGGAAAGCGAGCTCGCACTGCCGGTCGTCTAGGACGTCACTGCCGAGGGCAAGAGCACCCCTGACGGACGGAGGACCGGCAGGGTCGGAGACCAGAGCAGCATAGTCAAGGTGGTAGAGGAAGAGTCAACGACGGCAGCGACAAGAGCATCAAGACTCGAGACAGGAACACACATGTCGGTAACGAGGGAGGCAAGGACCCAAGGCACGAAGGAGGTCAGACAAAGGAGGCGGAGTGATTACAAGCGACGAAGGAGGAGGCGACGGGAGGAGGGGAGGACGAGACGCGTGGGAACAAAGCAATTTAGGGTGAGAGCGCTGAGCAGGGGAGACATGAAGAGCACGAGAGGCACGGTGAGACCACCAGGGGAGGGTGGGTTCAGGTCAGGAGACAAGGGAGGAGACACAGCAGGAGAACAAGGGGGGAAACAAGCCAGAGACGAGTCTGGCGGAGGAAACACAGGGCCGTAGACATGCAGGAGATGCGACGGCGGGGGAGGCGCAGACGGGTGTTCAGGGGAGGGAAGACTGAGGAGGCAAAGGGCGGACGCCGGCGGCGACTGCAGCTGCTGCTGCTGCTGCTCTACGCTGACACTAGAACCTCCAACTGCACCACGGCTACCTCTGGTAAACTCCATGCCAACACCCCAGAGCGAGAACCCTCTCCAACGCCAGTGCCACCTCTAAGACCACCAGGACGAGCCACGACAGTAACCCCAGCACTAGCACCCCCAGAACCAGCACCCCCAGAACGAGAACCCTCTCTAGCACCGCTGCCACCCCCAGGACCATCGGGACAAGCTACGACAGGAACCCCAGGGCTAGCACCTTCCTCAATGCCCGCACCCCAAGAGCTCGCGGACCCCTGCGGCGGCTGCTGCTGCGACGGCCGTGACAGCGGCTGCTGCAACAGTGGCGGCGATTGCGGCTGTTGCTGTGGTGGCAATGGCGGCGGCTGCTCCGATGGCAGAGGAGGAGACACCGGGGCGGAGACAGGCGGCGAGAACGGCGCCGCAGGGCCACCAGAGTCAGCCGACTCCTCAACCAGGACAACCAACAGGAGGGGAGTGATGTGAGACACACCAAACGGGGCAGGACGGGGAGGGAGAGGAGCAGGGGCTACTGGGGGACTGGGAACTAGAAACAAGGGCGGGGAAACCGGGAGACCTCTTTGGGGAAAGCAGTAGTAGATTGAGACAGACTCGTCAAAAGTTCCGCGAGTGAAAGAAGCGGTGAGACAGCGGGTGGTAAAAGTGTCAGTCAGACGCGTAGAGAGGGAACCCAAGGAAGACACAGGGGACATTGCGGGCTATGAGCTTGTCCATGCCAGAGGCACGAACGTGAGCAAGGCAGCCCCAGACGTGGAACGCGGACACGTCACCAGGGAACCCGGTCCAGAGGAGGATCGGCGAAACCTTTGGCCGCTGAGAGTGTGACCACAGGTTATGCTGGTGAGTGGCGTAGCGAACAGCGAACAGCCACAGAAAATGGGGTGTACCGACATGGATCATAGAGGTACGAGACACCTCCATAACCAAACGGATGCGTCGCTCAACGACCCCATTCTGGCAAGGAGTCCGGTAGGGTGTACAACTGGGTGATGCCCTCCGCATGATAGAACTAGCCAAGCCGACCGGAGGCAAACTCGCCGCCATGGTTGGAGTGAAGACACGGCGCAGGAAAGCCATGGTGGACTCGCGTAGCTACGGCCCACGGGATAAGAACGTCAGGCACGTCGGCCTTCTGCTCTAGGGGAAACACCGTGGTGTAGCGCGTGATGTCATCGACAAGCACTAGAAAGTAGCGCTCTCGACGCGGCCCAGGGACGGGGGCTGGGCCCTAGACGTCCAGGTGCAGGGTCTGAAGTGGCGTAGAGGTAGGGGAAAGCGAGGAGGAATGAGGAGTATGGCGCAGCCAGCCCTCAACGCAGGGCGTGCACAGCAACGCAGGCGAGGGAGGGAGAGCAGAGAGCAACGCAGGGAGCAACGCAGGGAGACCGAAGACAAGACCGTGGTGGAACACGTTACGCAGATGCGGGAGTGCAGGGTGACCTAGGCGGTGGTGCCATATCAACGATGGGTGAGTGAGCGACCGACACAAGCAAGCTGCAGTGACCTGGGTTGACGCAGGCACCAGGGGGGACGCCCTCACCGAGGGGGACGCCCTCACCGAGGAGGACGCCCTCACGGAGTACAACACCTTAGGTTAAATCCTCTTGTATCCTCAGATCATACTCAATTCATTATTCTGATAAATATATGTCAACATTCTAGCCCTAGCTCCATTGGGCTATCTCTTATGACTACTCGGGTGGCTCCCAGTTCTCCTAACCTCTCGCTATTGGAGTACCTTCTAATTCAACGCTCGCCACCTTTATCATCCAGGTATTCCTTGGCGAGCTCTCCCCCGCCATAGAGTATAGCATAGCTTGGTCAGACTCAGTCACGTCCGATGTCTCATAATGCCTATGACGACTACTCTGCAGACTTCTTGAAGAGTCTTGTCTTAACACTTTTGAAATATTTTTCAAAAATGAAAGATTATGACAAGACTCGTAAAGGATCGTCTAGTAAGGAGCAGGGCTTCAGAAGTTAGGACAAAATGCCTTGAAATGTTGTATATCAGGGTGTTCTTTAGGGTCGTCTTGTTTTTCAGCTTTTGATTTTTCGTAGGCCTGAATCTTAGGGGTTCTCATTTGAGCAGGCCTGAAATATTGCATGTTCTTGTTTTGGTCACCCTGAATTATCAGCCTTAGCGGATTTCCAGCTTGAAACAGAATCCTACCTGACTGGCCGAGGCGAGCTAGAGCAGCTGTGAGGGGCGTGACTTGTCCTTCGCCAAAATGACGCTGGTGACGCTGGCTGGAGAAGATGTGAGGGGCGTGATTGGTCATTCGCCAAAATCACGCAGGCCGTTTGATGCGAGCTGGAGCAGGTGTGAGGGGCGTGACTGGATGACAAAATGAGGCTAGTGACGCGAGTTGGAGCAGATGTGAGGGCGTGATAGGGGCGTGATTTTTCATATACCTAGTGTAAGGAATTTCCATTCCTTACTGAGTCGTATGCTAGCGCGTGCACTCGAACTCTTCGACTCGTCACGTTCGGCCTCATTTGTCGGCCCAACCCTCTCCCGAGTCACGTCCGGCACTGTCGCCACATTGCCGAACCTACCCACGTTCCGAGGTTACCGCCCTAGCACGCCAGCCCCTATATAACCTCGTGCCTTCATTGCAATAGCGACCTTGGATTCTCACGTTGTATTTCATTGACACTTACTATATCATAACAGCACAGAAGGACAGCACAAGTGGTTCCAAGAATTCGGTGACGAAGACGGGGCAGATTTGTTGTTTGGAGCGACCCACATTCGCACGTGGGCAACGTGGTGCGCAGAGCTTCGCAAGCGGTTTGAGCATGCTCCTGACTTAGTTAAAATACGCGAAACTCTACGCATGTGGAAGCAGCTGGGATCTGTGTACGAGTATACCGTGTCATTCTTCACGTTGGTGGACAGATGCGGCTACATGCACGAGTTGGAGAAGGTCGACAGGTACATGGGCGGTTTGAAGCTCGAGATATACTGTAGTACCAGATAAAACTGCAACGCCCTGCGAAGCGGTTACACGACTACATCCAGCTCGCCAAAGCCACTGATTTGATCACGAAGCCGAGGACGAACTTCTACAATGGATGTTGCCCTCGAGAACAGTACCAGCGCGCCACGATAAAAGGGGTGGACGCAGCGGATATTTACGCAGTTGCTCCGCAAAATACGGGGCTATGCTACCACTGTGGCCGGCCGGGTCACATCCAACGCAACTGCCAAGAATTCATAGCCCTCCAGGATTCTATGGGGAAGAAGCTGGAGGAGCGACCGAGAAATGTGTTGCGTCAGTAAGTACCAAGCCCCTTACTAACGGGCAGGTTTCTTCGCCCGAACCACACAGTCCTCATCGGGTCGTGATCCCGATTGCTGCAATCCACCGGACCTGGACGAATATGGGGGACGAAATTATTGATCACCCTGTGTTGGTGGAGGGTAAAGTCAACGGAGTGTTATGGAAGATTTTCGTTGATGGAGGCGTGAGTCACGGTCTCATACAACTGGACAGGGCTAAGAAATTGGGTATACCCTTACTCAAGTGTCTACCCGAAATTGACGCCCAACTGGTGGACGGAATACCGCTGGCCATACGGGAACGAGTGGAGAACGCTGGTTTTACCTGTGGGGAGCATGTAAAATTTCGGATGGGACTACTGGCGACTACTCTTGACGGGGGCGACGTACTGCTGGGACGTGATTGGTTGCGACGGTAGAACCCCAAGATTAACTGGACGACGGGCGGATGCAGCATCAAGCTCGATGGGATCTCTCACGAGCTGCCCAAGTGGACGGGGCCTCGCATGCGAAGCACCCAAGTCCACGCGATCACTTTCAAACGCGCGATGAACGCTGGAGCTGCAGCGTGCGCCGTTGATCTTCGCGGGGTGAGATCGACGGTCAAAACTGAAGATATCGAGAAGCTGTGCAAGGCCGTCCCTCCAGACTTAGTGTACCTAATTCAGAAATACCCATAGATTTTCTCGGATGACCTGCCAGCTGGACTCCCGCTGAGCTGACCTGAGGACCACCAAATCGAGTTGGAACCAGGCGCCCAACCGACGGTACAGCACCTATTTCGGCTCAGTCATCCAGAATAGGAAGAATTACAGCAGCAGCTGGATTACCTTTTGACAAAAGGATTTATCCGGCCCAGCATGTCACCACACGCCGCCCCGATACTGTTCACGCTGAAGAAGGATCGAGGATTCATAATGTGTATCAACTACCGAGCACTCAACCGGATCACCATCAAGTCGCGTTACCCGATCCTGCAAGCCGACGAACTTCTCGACCAACTTCGTGGCACCAAGTTTTTTCTCGAAAATCGACTTGCGATGAGGTTACCATCAGATTGGCGTCGCTATTGAAGATTGTCACAAGACGGCATTCTGAACCCGCTACGGCAGCTATGAATACCTGGTGATGCCTTTTGGCCTCACGAACGCGCCCTCGGCCTTCCAGATGACCATGAACGGAATTTTCAGGGAACTCTTGGACAAATGCGACATCATCTACCTCGACGATATCCTTATCTACAACCGCAGCTGGGAGCAGCACTTACAGGATCTTGATGCAGACTTCACGCTGCTGCACAAGAATCGCCTCATCACCAAAGGGTCTAAGTGCGAAGTTCTTAAACAGGAGTTGGAATTTCTGGGCCACATTGTCTCTACCGAAGGAGTGAAAATCGACCCAAGAAAATCAAGACCATACAGGAATGGAAGCCGCCCAGCAACATCAAGGAACTGCTAAGTTTTTTTGGATTCGTCAATTACGTCCGCCGGTTTATCCCCAATATGGCGGGTTATTCGCCCCGCTAACTGACCGACTCAAGGATTACGATTGTTTTTGGCGGGGAGAGACGCAGGAAGCTGCATTTGACCAACTGAAGATCGCCCTCACGTCGCTGCCCGTCCTTCGCATCTCCGATCCTGACCGTCCATACAAAGTCATCACCGACGCCAGCAACATCACCATCGGTGCAGTTCTTCTACAAGATTTCGGCGACGGATTACAGCCGGTCGCCTACGAATCACGGAAGCTGCAGGGCGCAGGGAAAAATTATACAGTACACGACAAGGAAATGTTGGCGATCGTCCACGCGTTCAAGACCTGGCGGTGCTACCTGACAGGCGCTGACGTCACTGTGCGGACCCACCATAAATCCCTCAAGTACCTCAGAGCCAACCAAACCTCAACGCGCGACAGATCCGATGGCTCGATTTCCTCGAGTAAAACTTCCACTACACCATCACCTACAAACAGGGCGCCAACAATATTGTTGATGCCCTGACCAGACGCATTGCCCATACAACCGCCATACTAATCGCCCAAACCAGCCCAGTCCTTACCGGACTATTTACTCACGGCTACAAAATCGACCCCTTCTTCCGCTCCGCCATCCACCAACAGCATACCACCGCTACCGGACACTACTTTAATAAGCGTGACACTTCCCGCATCTGGGTTACCGGCTACGATTTACTTCGTACCCTTCTAATCCAGGAATCACACACAATCCTACCTCCGGGCATTTCGGAGTTGACAAAACCACGAAGACGTTGCAGCGCAATTATTACTGGCCCAACATGGCCGACGACGTGCGCAAGTACGTGTCCTCCTGCACCGCCTGCCAGATCATGAAATCATCCCATCAGCGAGCAGTCAGACTCCTACAGCCGTTGGATCCGCCCGAGCGACCCTGGCAACACGTCACAATGGACTACATGACAGGACTGCCAGCCGGTCCTTACGGAAACGACGCCATCCTCGTGGTCGTTGACTGACTCAAAAAAATGGCGCACTTATCACCTGCCAACAGAAAATTGCAACTGAGCAAACTGCCCAACTGTTCATCGCCAACGTCATCAGACTGCACGGACTGCCCACTGCCATTATTTCC